TGGGCCCAGAGTTCAGGCCCCACGACCAGACCCAAAAAAAACAAATAGGGGATTACATTGATAACTATTTTTTTTTTTTTTTGCCAGTCCTGGAACTTGAACTAAGGGCTTGGGCACTGTCCCTGAGCCTCTTTGTGCTCAAATCTAGTATTCTACCACTTGAGCCACCGCACCATTTCTGGCTTTTTCTGAATAGTTTATTGGAGATGAGAGCATGGACTTCTGCCCAGGCTGGCTTAAACTGAGATCCTCAGATCTCTTCCTCCTGAGTAGCTAGGTTTACAGGTGTGAGCCACTTTTTGATAACTATTACTTATCATTTTATATCTGTCTGGCAGCTGGAGGCTTAGTTTATTTCATGTTGAATTTGGAGGATTGTCCAGTGGTTTTATCCCTGGCCTCCTCCTAAGTGGTCTGGTTAACAACCCCGAGTTGTGGTAGGCTGTCCATGGCGTTTGCCTCAGGCCTCTGCCCGGAGATGTTGCTCATCCCTTGGGCTCACTTCCTGTTTGGATCCCTGACATAAAACAAGACATTCATGGGGCAGGGAAGGTGGCTCAGTGGTAGAGCGCTTGCCTTGCATGCATGAGGTCCTGGGTTCGATTCCTCAGCACCACATAAGCAAAAAGAAAAAAAAAGCCGGAAGTGGCACTGTGGCTCAAGTGGTAGAGCACTAGCCTTGAGCTGAAGAGCTGAGGGACAGTGCCCAGGCCCAGAGTTCAGGCCCCATGACTGGACCCAACAAAAAAACAAGACATTCGTTCTCTTTATTGAAAACAGCACTTCCTGTACCCAGCCCTTGTGTCCACTAGTTGAAATACTTGACAGATTGTCCCTTTCTCTTCCAGCCAAAGGAAGTGTTGTGCTGAAATATGAGCCGGATTCTGCGTAAGTTGTCCACCCTTGCTAATTTACTGTGTTGTGTCCTGTCCTTGTGAGTGAGCAGATTGTTGGTGCTGGAAACTTTCCTGACCCATCAGAGCCTCTGAAGAATGGTCCCCTAAAACTAGGCTTGTGAAAAGTCCACACCTAACCTATCGTTGTATATCATTATAAAAACAGTTTTTGTAGCGCAGCCAGTTCAGGCAAATGGGTTTGTATTTGCGCAGAATAAAATGTACAGTTGTTGCTTTCTGATGCTAATTTTGGACAGTATTGAGCAGTCGCCTGACAGGAGGTTCATGGTGAACTCTGTCACTGATGCAGTTGATGTGCATGTGATCTGTTCCACATCGAGTGTTGAGCCAGGGCAGGGCTGAGGAAGCAGAAGCCGAGTACTGGAGCTCAAATCCGCAGTGGCCATCGGCCCACTGTTCTGCTGTTCACAAGTATTGCTTGGGTCGCACGGAAGGATTTAACGGAAGAGGCAGTACTTGGCATATTGGCAACCAGGGCCAAGTCAGGTCGCTTTCCTGGAGCTCCTCAGCTAGCCAGTGGCAGGATCAGGCCTCAGCTCTAGCAGCCCAATTGCCTCCTCGTAGAGTAAAAAGTACCGAAGGTGGCTCAGTGGTAGAGCGCTTGCCTTGCACGCGTGAGGCCCTGGGTTTGATTCCTCAGCACCACGTAAACAGAAAAAGCTGGAAGTGGTGCTGTGGCTCAAGTGGTAGAGCGCTTGCCTTGAGCTGAAGAGCTGAGGGACAGCACCCAGGCCCAGTTTGCACCACAACCGACCAAAAAAAAAAAGTCATTTGTGAAAGGGGAAGTGCAGTGGGGGCTGGACTGAGCTAGGCCTGGGAGCCTGCCAGTGCCAGGAGTTTGTGTTAGAGCAGAGATCCGCAGGGGAGCGGACACGGGCGCTGCAGCCGGCATCGAGCCTGAGCGTGCACTGTGGGGTCTGGAGGGCTGGGGTGGAGAACGGTGAAGAGGCCCGCGGGGAGGTGGGGCAGCCGCCAGAGGCTGGATGTTGGTAGTGCCACGCAGATGCCCCGGTGGGGTGTGTTGGGGGTAGGCCGTGTGAACTCCTGCCGGTGGGTTGTGGGAGTGGAGCTGAGCTGCTGTTGTTCCCTGAAATAGGAATTGAAATGCTGGAGTGTGCCCGGAGTGGGCCAGGCTGGGCAGCTGGATGGCGGTGTTAGCCCCCACGGCCAGCCCCTGGGCGTGGACGACTCCAGTGGAGGTGGGAACGGGGTTTTCACGAGTTTGCCTGTAGGAGTGGGAAGTCAGTAAAGACTGCAGGAGCCGAGGAACCAGGCTGTGTCCTAAGGTGGGCCTGGAGACACTGCACCGCGTAGGCCGGGGCGAGGCGGCCCCCTCCACGGAGCCACGGCCTACCCGTGACACCCTTGGTGAGCTGCGAGGACACCGGAAGAAGTGGCCTTGTTCAGGGGACACGGTGTCCCGGGTTAGGACACAAGTGTGGAATAGCAGCACTGCTGTGTGAGGTGTGCAGGTGTGGAGTCGCACACACTAAGGCTAGGACCCCCCAGGAGTTTGGGGGTCGTGAGCGTGCCTGTCAGCCATCTGCAGACAGCAGTGAGCGCGCTCCCCGCTCACCTACTTGTCTTGTTTGCAGGAGTCCAGACGCCCTTCAGTGCCCCATCGTGCTGTGCGGCTGGCGGGGAAAAGCCTCCATTCGGACTTTTGTGCCCAAGAACGAGCGGCTGCATTACCTGCGGATGATGGGGCTGGAGGTGCTGGGAGAGAAGAAGAAGGAGGGGCTCATTCTCACCGGGGAGAACGTGGCTGAGCCTGTGCAGACAGGGGCCCAGGAGTGCGCCGAGCCCCAAGCAGAGGCTGACGCCCCGGACAGCACCCCAGGCGGTGACTCAGCCGCAGCCGAGCCTCCCCGGTGAGGACTGGCACGCCGAGCCCGCCGCTTCCCTTGGTGTTGGAAACCGAGTCCAGAGCCACCTCTGACTGTAAAGCGTACTTCTAAAGCCTGCAGGCGGGTGTGCGGGGAGGAGCTGTACGGCTCTTACCGCGCTGATGACAGAGGAAGATTTGTAACATCTGGAGTGGGGCTGGGTCCCGTGGCCCTTTGGGGGCAGAAAGCTGCCCTGCTGGGTTCGGGTCCCTGTGTCTGTGTTGTCTTTAAGATGACCGCTGTGGGGGGGCGTTCCCAGCTCCTGGTACCTGGACGCCGCTGTCACCTTCACGACGCTGTCGAGTGGCATGCTAGCCGTGCACCGTGCGTCTGGGGCCTCGGGTGACTTTGTGCCTTTTGTAATGGAGGGTGGAGTAAACTTCCTTGGGTTTGCACTCTGTCGGGAACTGTGATGCAGGCCGTGGAAGCTTTGTGCTTTTCTTCAGGGGTGCTCCTGACTGGAGTGGCCATCCTTGGGTGTCTCAATAAAGAGTTGTTAATGATTGGGTGTCTCATTTGGTTCTAGGAAGCAGAAAGACTGAACAGAAGTGGCAAGATGGAAGCCATTGCTGGAACAAGGGCCTGTCATTAGGGGCTGCTGGCCTTGTCCCTCAGAGAGGGGGGGTCCCAGGCGGGCACGGCCGAAGTGAAGCTGGGCAGCCCTGGCCCTGGCCCTTCTGGATTCGGTCTGCCCTGACAGCTTAGCATGAGCAGGATTTCCAAGTTAGAAAGTGCAGATGTAGAAAAGGGCGAAGGGGCTTCGTGTCCCAGCGCCCGGCTTCAGCCTTGGCCGCCCAGTCTGCCCCGAGCCTGTATTCCTCCCCGCGCCGCATTCCTATTGCGCATGCTGGCCATTCCCAGGGGAAGCTTCTCGGCTAACGTCCAACTACAAGCAGAGCAGTGTCACTGTCCCCAGCAACCTCAGCCAACCTCAGACTACAAGCTGGCAGCTGAAGATTTGCTGTTGGCCTGTTTTGATTGGTATGTGGCCAGGGCACAGTGCAGTGAGTCTAGTTGTTTGCTGAGTTTGTAACAGTGCTTTCAAACTGAACAATATGATTCGCTTAGGATCCCCAGTTAGTGTGTGTATGCAAATTTGACCTAATTAGGTTATTCCTAAGATATTTGCGACCATCAGAATGACCACTTTTTATATTTATTTTATTTTTTATTTTATGTTATTTGTGAACATACTGTACAGAGGGGTTACAATTACATGGGCAGGATAATGCGTACATTTCTTACCAAGCATTGCAGCCTCCTCTGGTTTACCCTTC